AATATGTTGCCTTGGCTGAGATGCATAAAGAAAATCTGGCCTCACAGAGATAGTGCTTGGAGGCACAGAGGAGTCATTTGAAAGGAACCAATTCCAAGACGCATGTGAAGGTGCGAGATTTGACTTTGGGATGGCAGTCGGTAAGCTGATTCATTTTGGGTAGAATAGTGGCCCTGAACTAAGTCACTGGAGGGACGGGATGTTGAAAGAGTAGAATTGGCTGGATATGGTGGTGCTCGCCTCTAAGCTCAGTTCTGGGAGGCTGAGGCAGGAAGATTTAAAGTTTAAACCCATTCATGGCTACTCCAAAGGATTTTTCAAAAGGGGTGGTTTTACCTGTCGGGACACTCAGCCCGGAGAATTTAGACCAACCACTCTGAACCATCCCCACGGCCTTCTTCGGATGATTCACCCACTTAATCCTGAAGCAGATGCGTATGCAGAGGCTGTGTCAGGTGTGTGCCACTGAGGCAGGAACCCATGCTGTAGCAGGTGCCAGTGGAGTGCAGCCCGGAGTCCCACTGGGGACAAGGAGATCACACCACACCAGGACTCCACAGACCAAATTTCCTTCCTGATTTGACCACTTCCTCCTGGGCCACATTTTTCCTTTCTGGTATCTGTGTCTTCACCTGAAAGGAACTGAGACTCCATAAAAATTCACAGCATCTTTGAATAATTCAGGGTAGAAAATCAAAAAACAAAGTGTTTCCCTTACTTGGTGAGTTCTCTGTGACTTTTCTCCCCAGCGTGGCTAAGTTGAGAGTTCAGGCTTTTATGGCTTCAGGTTATTTTAGGAGGTCACAGAAAAAACCTTTTCCTCTGGAGTTCTCTACCCTTTCACCCCACAGACTCAGCCTCTCCCCATCCTGGGCACATGGCAGAATAGACTCTTTCAGATGCACCCTCCCCCCATTTCTTCCCTCAGTTACTCCTGTAATTCCAGCACAGGAGGCTGAGGCAGGAGGGTTGTGAGTTCAAGGCCCACCTGGGCAACTTAGACTCTATTGCAAAGTAAAATATAAAAAGGGCTGGGAATGTAGCTCAGTAGTAGAGCACCCCTGGGTTCAATTCCTAGTACCTCTCCCCCAACACTGACACAAAACAACTTACTCATTCGCTCTCTTTCCATACGTATGTGCAAAGAAAAGATCATGTGAGCACCTAGAGATGGCAATCACAAACCAAGAGGAGAGGCCTCAGAGTGACACCTACTTTACTGGCACATATACTGGGGACCCCTGAAATGTTACTATAAACCTCTGCAGTAGGCTTCAGTCTCCTGCCCAGTGTATGATGCAGGCCTGAGAAATCAAACTAAAAGACTAAGAGAGGCTGATGCTGGTGCAATCAACAAAGGTGCTGGCCAGTCCAAGCCTTTGATTTTTTTTTTAAGGCTTTGATTTTTATTGGTAATGGATTGGGGTAAAGGCAAACTACATGCAAGGATGCATAGTTGTGTGGTTATTACGGAAATTAATGTAAGCAAGGCTAGTAAAAGACAAGACAAAGAATTATTGAATTACAAATAGAATAGAAAAAATATAGCATTGTGATTAGAACATTGTCCTTCTAGTAAGAAAGTTTTAATTGTGGGAATGGAATTTGGATGGAAGTTACTCTGACCTCAGCACATAGGCGTTGTTTCTCAAAACAGACTCATTTCTCAAAACAAGCCAATTGTGGGGTTAACTTTACACAGCCTGCACTGCTTACAGCCTGCTTTGGGCATAATCAATATTACAGTCTCCCACACACATAGATCTTGGACTTCCCAAGCTCCAGAACTGTAAAGAAATAAATTCACAATGATCATGTATTGAGCTTTTTTCACAGGTCATTCATGATCATTATAAATATTTGTTATTATTGTTAAAATTTCACAAAACTCTTAGCACTATTACCATTTGGACTTTACTGTACTAAATGGAAGAACTACTCTTTCACCAAAATCAGTCCTTCAAATAATCATCTTTAGGAAATTTGTCATATCCTTATGACCCTGGACATATTTTCTTTTAAATGGACTCACTGTCTCTTTTATAGAAATAAACACATTGTACAAGGAAATATTATTGCACTACTTTAAATGAGAATCCATTATCACCCATCACAATGGAAAATAGAAATAAATACAAGCACCAAAATGTCATTAGATTCTAATTAGATGTGCTAGCTGTGGGCCTGAAGTTTGTTCTCTCCGTTAAAAGGGAGATGAACAAGTATTGGAGAGAGGCGTTGAAGGCTGTTAGCACTGAACGAGACTGCCCTCTTCCTGGTGGGGACTGAAAGTAAACAAAATAGGAGGTCACTTTCTAGGTGAGTGTTCCTGTCCCTCTCCTGTCCCACCACTCTCCACAGATGCCCTCCAAAACACAGTCTCCCACCCTCTATCTACCATGACCTTCCTGACCTCAGTGAGCTGAGAGAAGTCAGGAAGGGAATTGGCCATTGCTCTTTCCAAGAAGAGGCACAGGCAGACTCCCTAAATCTTGCCTGCCTTAGGGGGACAGTTGAGTGCTGCTGAGAGGCACCCTACTCATGAATTCAAGAAGGTACTCAGGAGGCTGGGGCAGGAGTGAGTATCCTCTGCCCTAGCCCCCTAAAGCCTGGCTGATGCACAAAGTCCCACCCTGTACATTCTTCTGTCTTTGTTCAGGCAGAGGCAGTGGCCAAAGTCTTCCCAAGGGAGGTCAAAAACCCGAGGCAGAGAGAAGTGGAACTGGGCTAGAACTTGGGAATGGAACAAACATTTCCATCTATCAGTCTTTCAGCCAGTCACATAGTCTTTTTGAGACTTCCTTTACTCACCTATTAAATGGAATCATAAAACCCCCACAACTTCTTCATAGAGTTTCCGGGACTGGGTGGCAGCTACCCAACGGAATGCCTGGCCCTGAGACAATGCTCAGCAGTGTCAATTACCTTCTCCACCTGCAAAACTAAGGAGGCCACCCTTCACCCAGCCTGGCGGCTGCAGAACACTCCCTGCAATCTGTCCATCAGCAGGAAAGGACCATGTGCAAGGGATCCTGCGCCAGGGGTGGGGGTTGTGTGTGTGTGTGGGTGTTGTGGGGGGCATTGGATGTGGAGATTCTGAGCTGAGGCCACTTCTCTGCTGAAAGAAAGGCGCACATTGACTCAGCATCTGCCACCAACCTTCTCCAAAGCCAGGGACATCACAGTAGACCTCAGAGGCCACTGAGGTCAGGGACCCTAATCTCCAAGGGAGCAGGATGTCTTGGAGATTGTTTGGGTCCTTCGGTTCACAAAGCTATCAGTGAGTACTGTGCATGACTAATGTGCCAGTCACTGCTAAATAAAGGCTCCCCGTGGCTCCTCGCGCCAACTCATAAAACCCTCTATGATAACGCACTCAGGGAACACACTCAGCAAGGTGGAGTTTCTTCTGCAAACTGGAACAGGAGGTAAGTGGCAGAGCCAGGATTTCTGGCTCACCTTTGTAAAGTGAGTGATCAAATGAAGGAATGAATCACTGAACAAATGACAGCTGTTGCTGATGGCCAGCCCTGGCCATGCTCCTTCCCTGCTCTGCCGCAGTTTGGGAAAGAGAAGCCGGGAGTTTCCTGGCCCCAAGGAACCAGCTGTCTGGACACTGGCTGTTCAAGCCACAGTGAGGAAAGATCCAATAGAAGATAAAAGAAAGCGAGACAGAAGGAACAGCAAGGAGAGATGGAAACAGAGAGAAAAGGCAGAACTGGCTCCCAGCACACTGCAGAGGATCACCACTCTCCCCACAGCTCTCCCCTCCACCCCCAGGAGGACGGGAGGCCGCACCTGGACTGACTGCAAGCTCGGTGCAGAGACCATTTCTATGTGAGCATACGGTTTCCAGCCTCTCTTCTGGCTGCTGCTGGAAAGCAGGACCCATGAGGGGTGAACACACGGACCTTGACTTCCTTCCTTCTCTCCTTTCCTCCCTCCCCATCCCGCCGTGCTTCCTGGACCTTGCCCTTGAACCCTTGTCTCAGCATCTGCACCTGGCTCAGGTGCCAAGGCAAGAGAGCCACAGAGGCCGAGCCCCAAGCATGACCACACTGACAAGGTGGGGCTTGGTCTTCCCTCAGTCAGCAGGCCAGGGGCAGGCTCTCTGGAAGGGAGGTCGCCCCTCACACACTGCTCTCTCCCTGCCTCTCTGCCTGGTCCTCAGAGGCCATCTGCGTGGCTAGGGTGAGGCTGGGCTCCAGCCAACATGATACCAAAGGCAGACCTGAGTCAGGGAGTCTCGGGTGGCAGCAGAGTGTGGAGCAGGATGGGGTGGCATCTCCCCAGAGTGCTTCTCACTGCAATCATTTCATGGGATATTCATCAGAGGCACCAGGAAAAATGATTCCTGTGTGATGCTGATTTGGTCAAGGCTTGAGGACATGTGCTTCCTACCTGCAGGACTTCGCAGAGCCTTTCAAGCATATCTTGTGACTCTCCAAGAACAGAAGTTCTGTTAGGACTTATTTGACCAAAGAATAAGGTTCAATGAGACAATAGGGCAGGAAATAGTGGTTTGTCTGAAAAGGCCCTCACCTGCCCAGGTGACTCTGAACAAACTGCCTCACCTGAGTCACTTGCCATGATCACTCTGTCAGTAAGAGGCAGGATGGGATTTGAATAGAGAGAATAAGGGAGAAATGGCAGGGGGGAGAGAGACAGAGAGAGAGAGATGGAGCTTTAGATTCTGTGATGCTCAAATTCACCTACAAAGATAAGTTTTCCCTTGATGCTCAATGAGAAAGAGAGACAACAGAGAGAAAAAGACAAGGAGACACACAGAAACAGCTTAGCCATTTTCCCTGTGCACCATGAGTTCAATTGCTATCAATTACTGTGGCCTCCTGCATTTATTAATAACCAAGTTATTTCTCCTTCCAATAATAGCTGTGCTGTTGCTGAATCACTCAACATTATGTGACATATTTATAATGCTAGCACCTCTGGTTCCCATTTCCTCACACAGAGAGTTACAATCCAGGGCCTGTGAAGACAGACCACCTGCAGGGGAGAAAGAAGCAGAAAAGGCCAGAGCTGCTGCAAGAGAAGGCATCACTCTGGAGACAGCTGCTGGGTCCGAATCCCACCTCCACCCCTCAAAGCCATGAGAGGTGGGAGACAGCACATCAACTCTCTGAGCCTCAGTCTCCTCTTCTGCAGAGGAGGAATAGCAAGTGCTGAACAGAATCTACCCCACGGAGCAAACGAAGACTCAGGAACTTATTTGTGCAGAATGCTGAGTGCAGCATGTGCTCACTACAAGTCCCTCTATTATGGTCACACTCTGAAACTTCCCACCTTAAAAATGACAAATGGATCAGAAAGAGAAACCCCAGGAGCAAGCACAATTCGAGTAGCTACAGCTTTCTGCCTGGGGCCACCCACCAAAGTTCTGATGCTGAGACCTTGGAAAATGTGGCCCTCTTATTTCTGGAGGCCCGACCTGCTTCTCATGGCTCGTACCTGGTCCTGCTGCCTTCAGGTGCCACAGCCCCACACATCTGCATGGACTGCTCCCCCTTCCTGGCTTTGGAGAAAGTTGCCCAGGTGTCTCAGCCTTTGCCCATCTGCAACTGAGTGCTCCCTGTCAGGCCTGACCAATGGGCCATCTGTAAATCACTGCTGAGTGATTCATAATCCAACAGGAGCCACTGCCCCTCCCTAACATCTGGAAAGTCAGGAACAGACCTCCTCCCAGTGCTCTGCAGACTATAAGCAGATGTTTTGGGAAAAGAAGCCTCTAAGGACAAATCGGGTGGGGCGACCTCAGCCTAAACTCTCTTGCAGGACTCCTCAGAGCCTTGACCCTGTCAGTGTGTGTTGTGAATTTACAAGAAGAAGAGAGCTGGTTGGGGAGGTGTCCCAAACTAATTGGATCAAGAAGCTAGAGGGAAAAGGCCACTATGAGGCCTCTTTGGGGTGGAAGAGGGGGACAGCTGAAAGAACTAGAGGGTGAAAGCCCAAAGACAGTTTCAGTTGAGCTGTGAAATCTCCAACGGATGATGTTACTCCTTTGAGACTGCTTTCTTATCTGTAAAATGGAATGGCTCCTCTCCCATTGGGCTATTTTAGGGATAAAGCAAGTGACTAGATATGAAGCTGGCAGACAGTGTCCCCAAGCTGAGGACAGTGTGGTCAGGGAGACCTCAGCTGAAGGTGTCACACAGGGTGACTGCAAGATCAAAGGCACTGAGACCAGAGAAAGGCCATGAGTGACTGGCCTGAGGTCCCACAGCTAGCAAGGGAGGAGCCAGGACCAAACCCAGGCCTGCCTGGCCCCAGGCCAGTGCTCTTTCCACACTCACATGTCCCTCACTACAGCAAAGGTCACCTGGCCTATCAAACTGTTCCCTTGGAGGCTGAGTCCTGTGGCCAAGGAGAGCCAGTCCCAGCCAGCATGTCAGTCCTTACCACGCCTCTGACCCAGAGCTCAGCACTGAATCTCAGCAATGCCACAATCCTACAGAAGGACCCAATTGCAAATTCTACTTATTATGACCCCAAAGACCAAGCAATGCAATGTGTTGTAAAGAATAAGGGACAGGCTTTAAAGACAGAGCCAGTTGACATCACATTGAGCACCTGCCCTTCCTAAGTCCCTGACCTTATGTAACTTACTTCACTTCTCTGGAACTCTATTTACTCATCCTCACAATGGGTACAGCCTCCCACAAAGGGTTATGAGGGTGGATCATGTAAATCATGTCTAGCAGAGGCTGTCTTTGTGGTGAATATGAGCAGATATCAATTGCATGATCATCATCATCATCATCATCATCATTACTGGCATTGTTACGCTTTGTCTCAGAACAGTGGGTCCAGGACCTGAGCCCTCCCTGTCTCTCCTTCAGCGAGAGATGAGTGGAGTCTCTGGTGATCCAGGCAAACAGGGAGCCCTAGAGAGCCCCTGGTGGACCCCATTAGGCAAGTTGTAGCCCCCAAGCCTCAGTTTCCTCATCTGTAAATGGTGTAACCGCATCTGCTCCAGGGGATGTTGAAACAGCCGAAGCTCTTACAATGGTGCCTGGCACCTGGGAATCACTGAATAAATGTCAGCCACTGCTGTGACTTAGGGGAAAGAGGCCAAAAGAGAGGAGAGGCTCCCATGGGGCCTCTCAGCATGGGAGTGGCCCGGCCACTCTGAAGCCCAGGTCTCCCGCAAGACCCAGCCTCCCCCCTTTCTCCGCCCTCCCAGGACACTGGGCTGCTCTGCAGCTCTGCCCTTTAGCCATGGCCATTTCGGGGAATTCATTTTAAAAAATTGTTTACATCCCAGAGCAGCTATTCCAGCTTAATAAATGAATTCAATATCCCTGAGGAAGAGCCCAGCAGCCTGCACTTCTGCACGTAGGGCTTCAGGTTGGTGTCTCACTGGTGGGGCAAGCAAGTCCCAGCCTGGTGTCACGAGAGGGCCTGATGTGTGGATGCTGCTCAGCCTGCAGCTCTCTCCCTGACTTCTGCTTCTGACATTTGGCTTGCGGGGCTGTGCCTGGGGACCCCTTGAGTGACCTGACTGCTCTCCACTCTGGGTGCCCCTGCCTAGAATTCTTGCCCACCTGTAACACATCGGTGCACTTGCCTGGTTCTTCATTTCTTGGGTGAGTAGAAACTCTGTCTTGGAACATGAGGATGGTGCCCCAGGCCAGCAAGGGCACTGTCAAGCGGTAGGCACAGAGGAACAGACAAGAAGGGAGGGGAGAAGGAAGGAGAGAGGGAACAAAAGCAGAGAGGGAAGGGGGTGGAAGAGAAGGAACTGAGGAGGAAGGGACAAAGGAGGGAGGGAGGAACCAAGCAAGATGCAGAGCCCGGAGCTAGGCCTATCCCTCTCTGGGCCCTGGGCCCTGCCTTGTACAAACAGCAGCTCAGGCTTGCTCTGTCCAAGCCCTTTCCAGCACTCAGACTGTTCAGCCCATCAGGAGGCTCTTGGGAGACCCAGTGACTCTGCCTTGTACAACCACACAAGGAGGTCACAACCAGCAGAGCCTGGGCTTTGGTGGGGCAGAGCTTGCACCCTGTGTCTTCTGCACAGAGTGGCCATCTACCCTGGACCCCCACAGTCCTGCTCCTCCTAACTTGAGAATTCTTGCTGTACTTTAGTTCAGAGGTTGAAGAAGGAGCAGGGCTGGTTGTGCTGGTCCACCCTGGGCCCCAGGGTCATCAGCTCCCTTGGCGAGGGCAAGGCCTGCCCTGCACCCTGGGCTCCACACTCCTCCTCATTCAGGGTGAAGCTGCTCACTGAGGTCCAGGGCAGCTAGGAAGGAGTTGGGAGGAAGGGAGCCCCTTGGAATGGCAGCAGAGTGCTGGGCAGCAGGGCCCTGACCAGGTGTCTCTGCGCCCTATAGAAGTCATGGAAGGAAACAAAAGCCTCAAGGAAGCAGAGGAGACCCCATGCCCATCTGCAGAGAGGACAGAGGCAGCATCCCCAGTGTGGGCATGGCAGGTCTTTGCAAACTCCAAGCCTGCCTCTGCCCCTGGTGACACACCACAGAGCGGGTTGGAGGGGTGGCTTTGTGCCACTTCAAGCTGTGTGACATGTTTGTGACTTCACCTTTCTGAGCTTTGGCTTCCCCATCTACAAATGGAAATGATAACCTAGCACCTAGCCATAGGTGTGTGAGGGTTGGATGAGCCATCTCACCCACATAACACCCAGGGAAGTGGGCTGTCTGCATAGAAGTGCTGGACACCAGGCATGTGCTTTACCAAGCAGTCCTACTGCCAGGAACCCACTCCCCAGAATGCTCACCTGTGTATACAGCCATCTATGTACCAGGATGCACAGGGTCCTGCTATTTATGATACCAAAGAGAATTAGGGACTTTACCATAAGCCAATGTGGAAAGATGCAAAGACAAGCTACAGTGGGACATGGGGCAAGCACAGGACATAGAAACCTTGATGATGAGAAGCAAGCAACTCACTGACTCTGCACAGACTGTGTGTGGCAGGCAGCCAAGTGTAGTTTTGGAGGCTAGGGTTGTGGCTCAGGTGACAGTTAATATACTATGTCAGCATCCTGGTTGTGATGTCTGCTGTGGCCACGAACAATGGACAGGGGACACTATGGGAGGGTTCATGGGACTCTCAGAATGGTGTAACTTCCTGTGAGTCTATAATTACCTCAAAAGTTCAAGGAAAAAAATTGTCTAGGGGTTAATTGCTTAGCATGGGAGAGGTCCTGGAGCCAGGTGTGGTGACACACACCTGTAATCCCAGCCCTCTGAGAGGATCACAAGTTTGAATCCAGCCTGGGCAACTTGTCAACTTAGCAAGACTCTGTCTCAAAATGATAGATAGGTAGATAGATAGACGATAGAGATGATAAGTAGATAATAGATAAATGGCTGGGTACATAGTTCACTGTGAAGACCCTGGACTCGATGCCCAGAACCACACACACACAAAAATCAAGGAAGTACTAAAACAGTCCATTAGGCAGTGAACCTGTCCTGTAGGACCCTGCAATGGTGGATACAATTGTCAACATCATACATATGGTGCAAAGAGTGAAGGTGTCTGCGTCTCAGGTCATTGGTTGTAACAAATGGGCTACATGCGACGCTGTTATCAAGGAAGGCTGGGGAGAGGGCAGGGGAGATATGGGAATATATGGGAACTCTGTATGTGATGCTCAAAATTTAAAGTCTATTAAGTTTTTTGAAAAGCCTGAAGGAAGAATGCACCCCAAACTGTACACAGGGGTCCCTCCTCAGAGGACAGTGGGATTTGAGGTGTAAGAAGGGTCTCTCCTTTCTTTTCTTTAATTTCTTTTTTCTTCTTTCTTTCACTCTTTCTCTTTGTTTTTACTCTATATTCTTTTGTACTGTTTTCATTTTTTACAGAAAGACAACATGAAAGCATTCCTCATGCAGTTGCTTTAAAGCAAGTGGAACAGGCATGCCCTCCACAAAGCCCTGGACTGTGGAGGGTCACTGCTCTGTAGCAACAGCATCACTGACACTGGTATCACAGGCCTTCTGTTCTCAGGGTCTCACCCCAGTGTGGAGAGCATCTGGCCACCTCCCCCTGTCCCTGGAAGGGTTAACCTTGCTGGTGATGGTGCTGAGTCCCGGAAGAAAGACCTTGTCACTGTTGGTACTGTCTCTCCTTCCAGTGGACATGCTGGCTCCTCAAGTTCCAGCCCCACTCATTCAGAGCCTGATGTCTTTATTATGGCAGGTGGGAGCTGCTGGAGGAACAGCAGTCTCCTTTATCACCCCATTATGGCCCCCTTTGGCTTATATATGGGCTGCCTATCTCATAATTAGGAAGCAGGTTAACAAGAAGTAGCTGGCAAATCCCATGGAAGACAAATAAATTAAGCACCTCACTGGCCTGTGGGAAAAGAAAACACCAGGCAACATGACCATGGAGACAGGCATCACTCATCCTGGGTGCCATTTTGGATTCTGGACTTTATTGTTGTTTTTGAGAAGCAATGCAGGATGGTGGAAAGCCTGGCTTTCTGGAGAGAATGCACAACATCTTCTATAGCTGCAGGACCACAAGGATGGGGAGGACTAAAGACCAGCTCAAGGAGCCTTCCCTCCTGAGTTGCGCTGGGAAACTCCTCTGGACACTGGGTTTCCCTCTGATAAGAATAACAAGAAGAGCAGAGCTTTAAATATTCAGAATAAATAATGGAAGCTTTACAAGCATGCTAGAAGGTAGACTTATTATGACCCCATTTTACAGGTGACCGCATTTTACAGTCTCAGAGGTCAGGGGAGTCACCAAGATTACATAGTCGACTGAATACTGGTCACCCATAGCCTCGATTCTGAGCTCTCCTCCATTCTGCTTAGCAGGCCAACCTTCCCTATAGAGGGCTGTGTGGGGATTGAAGGATCAGATGGCGACAGGGTGGAGCCGAGATGGGGCTCTTAGGAGAGAGCAGAGATCTGAGCACCCAGAATGCACCTGGGACCAGGCCAGCTAGGGAGCCTCATGGAGGAGACACAGAGGAAATCTGGGGGCAGGCAGGCCCTGCATTCAACCTTCACTCCAGCACACTGACTTTGACCAGGACACTTAACCTCTCCTGAGCCCCTGTATCCTAACCCACGAAATGGTGACTCCATCCCTACCTGTCAGGGCTGCTGAGAGAATTCAGAGACAATCCCCAGAAAGTGACCCCCAGCCTTGGCCTGAGGCAGGGAACCAGGGACTCTGGTGGATTTTGCTTATGGAGGTTATGCCAGGAAGAGCACCATGCTGGATTTTAATCTCACATAGCCAAGATGCCCCAAGACACAGAAATTGTTTCTTGCAGCACAGAGTATGGACAGTATCCTAGATCTACTCTTCCATGGCAAGAAAGTCCTTGGCGGGTATCTGAGGATGGTGAGGATGCTGGTAATAAACACAGGGGACAAGTCCACAGAGCATCCTTTTCCACCTCAGCAGGGAGTTGGGAAGCACAGGTGGGGAGATCTACAAGCTTTGTAATGTCACAGTTCACAGCAGCTTGCTCCACTAAGATGCCTTAGAAGGCCTTGGCATGTCACCTCTCCGTTCATCTGCATGGCAGACTCTTCAGTCGCTGCTGTTTCTTGCCTATTTTACAGGCAAGAAAACCAAGGCCCAGAGAGCTTAATTTATTTGTTCAAGGCCACCGTGGCAAATATGGCCACACTAATAACACCCACCCTATATGCTCTGGAAACTCACTTCTCCCCATCCAGGGATGGAGTCTGGTCCCTTTCACCCCTGAAGCTTATAACCAAAAGGACATAGCACAAGTGACGTAGCTCAGAAAAGGCAACGCAAC